CCATGGAGCCAACTGGGTGACTCTGGGCCAGTCACAGACTCTCAGCCCAACCTACCTCACAGGGTTGTTGTTGTGGGGATAAGATGGAGGAGGAGGAGATGTAAGCTGCCTTGAGCCCTTTGTAGGAAAAAGGCAGGATATAAATAATAAATAAATATCCATTCAGATGCTTCTTTAGTGCCTATTTTAGATCTGTCAGGTAACTGAAGTAATCACATCAGTAAGTGCTCTGAAAAAGAGTTACAAAAAGGAAGGGGTTGATATTTCCCCCTTTTTGGACTAACTGGAGAGTTGTCACAGTGCTGAAAATGTAGAGGGCATTGAGAATTGCCTGTTCAACACTTAACATCAAGAGGTTTTCATTGGAAATTTCATTTTCATTGAAAATACTTGCATTCCCCAATTTGGTGTGTTTTTCTGCCACTTTCTCCCACTTTGCCAGTGTTTTTTAACTGACAACTTGGTCCCTGACAACTGTGTGCAAATTAGTATATATCCAATCTCATCCTGTCAGTTTCCTTGTATATTGCCTACACCTTGTCTGTACTTTCTTCACCGCTAAAACATATAAGAAAGTTGACCCAGCCAGACTACACGTATCAGAGAGCTTTAAGTGTGCACTTGCAAAACACCAAGGGCAACTGCAATAATAATAATGATTTACAAACTCTTTTGTGAAATTTTCGGGGATAGAATTCAGTTTAAAACAAGAGGGGCTGAAGCAGTGACAGTTTCTGCAAAGTGCCACTTGGGTATTGGCAGAGGGACTGTTACTGACAGTAGTAAAGGCAAGATTACAAAAAGTGGCTGGGATTTTTGCTGGTCTTGCCAAATAGCGCTCTAGCAACATTGCAATCCACAGTAAAATTACTCTCCTGGATTGGTCACTGTAAAACTGGTTTGGTGGTATCATGTATTCCCCATACACTGGGAATAGGAGCTGGGGGAGCAGCATCACTTATTTTTGGTTAGAGTTTCAAAAGTTCCTGCAATTCCCAACAGCCAGCTGTGCTGCTGAGCCATGCTGGGACCTGTAGGATTTATTTCTGCCTAAACAAGTATAAAGTAAACACCTTTAATGTGCTAGTTTCGCTTGCATTCTTTCAATAGATTCTTGAAGCAGCCAGGGTTTAGAAAAAGTCTTTGCATATTTCCATTTGAAACCAATGAAAAATAGAAGCAATCAGCTTTCTTAGTAATCTTACTCAAGTCTTATGTAGCAGGCTACAAGAGATTACAGATGTTTGTGGAACTACACATTTGCTTATTTTCGTAAAAACCAGAGGCATGTGGTGGTAGCCACCCTGGGTGTGACTAAAATACTTTCTTGAGGCTAGGAATCTTTTTTTTTCTTTTTGGTCTTGATCTCTTTTCTTCTACTGGAGGGAAGGAAGTGAAATACCAGAGCATGCCGGAAAAGGAAGTCTTGTTTCTCTCCTGACTTGCACATTCAGATTTTCACCTCTTACAGCTCGGTGCTGTTCCAGAAGGGTGGGTGAGAGGGAAGGAGAAAATGGACTGGCAAGTAGAGAACCATGAGAAATTCTGCAGAGAGAGGATTCAGTATGGCTACCAATGGCAACTCCTATAACTGTCGCCATTGGCTATGCTAGCTAGAACTGATGGATGGCGTGGAACGAGACATCTGGAGCATCACGAGTTACCTATCCCTGCAATAAGCATTGAAGAAAGTTTTAGAGCAGCATGGAAGTCAGGATTTTTGGACCAAATGAGGACAAAGACAACTGCCACAGTGGTTTGACAGTTTTACTTCCTTCCAAGTGTGGATCTCAGTGTGCCCCTAGGAATGCAAAACTGCAGCTTTATTCCTGGGGCCAGTCTGGTGATAAACAGAGATTACATATGAGTACATATGAATAAAGAGAAAATCCCATACACCTACTGAATATTTGCTAAGCTAAGGAGATGTAGAACTATCTGCCAGTATAAACACATGTCCTATGATGGTTTTTTTTTCCTATTGGAAGTGTATGTAAAATTAGATGCCAGAATTCCCTCCATGAGGAGCCTTCCTAGGTAGCTGCAAGTAGCTGCAATGCCATCACTGTTTTTTCCTGCTTGAAGCTATAAAAAGTACAAGGCAAGAATCTAGTTAATAGTACACTAGGCACTCTGACATTCGCCCATTGTTTTAACAGTAGCATAGGGTGAAGGAGGAGGGGGAATGCATCTCACAAGCTAAGTTTTGCTTTTTTCATTTATTTCCATTTTTGAGGCAGATTAGAATAGACATGTAATCTGTCCAGACTGCATAACCAACACATGGTTTGTTCATGGGGAAAAGGGCCAGAAATTGCAACATGTTTTTTGTTGTTTTATTCCAGAAGAAACAGAACAAGCACTCTGTGTGCAATCTGAGACAGCGTTTTCTATAGCCTCTCAGTGGCCCTGTTAGCATAGCTGTCTGATTGCTTTTTCTTTACCTGGGGCTATAATCTGGCTGAAGGCACAGCTTCCCCACTTTTCCCATGGATTTCAGATCAGATTTTTGTTGGACTGTTCGTGATACAGCTTCAGTTTAATTGACTTTGCTGCAACTCGTATGCCATTGTTCCACAATTAGCCACTTTCCTTCCATGAGTATGTTCAGTATTTGTTGAAGCTGCTTCCCAGCAAATAAATCTGAATCCCCATTGTATGCCCAAACCTCCTTATGCCAGTGCAGCCTGTCCCCCTTCCCTTTGACCTTGGATGAGTTTGCACAATCGGGGAGGGAAAATATGAGCCTCCCAAGCTTTTCCTACCTCCCAAAGCCTGGCATAATTACCTTTATCTTTGAGTGGGCCAATTTTATTTTTATTTAATTGGGTTATTTTTTCCCTCTGTCATTGTGCAACTCTTATTTACTGATGCTGTGTCAGGAGCAGTCTCAGGGGTAAACTTGAAAGAACAGGCACTCATCATGACAGTCACCATAGCTACAATCCCACAAAGGCTCTGAAAATTCATTGCAAGAAACCCATTCAATCCCACCAGGAACAGGTCTTCCGTTAAGCAAAGGGTCTTAATTACTTATTCACAATTAAGCCAATGCAGATTACTTTGCTTTATGATTGGGAACAAAGTGTTCCTGGTAAAAAATCACCCCCTCTTCTTTGTAGGGTAGAGAATCCTGAGGGGGATGGCAGGCAATGCCAGTGTCCCTGCAAACACAGCTTGTACCAGCACTGCATCCCTGCAAGCACTGACCCTGGTTGACGATAGCGCAGGTGGTCTCATTTTCTCCAGCACCTGGTGTGCCATCCAGACATGCAGCTCACTAGGAAGGCCTTGCAGTAGCTTCTAGAAAATGACAGGCTAGAAAAAACAACTTAATTGTTTTTGTATGAAATTTATTGCTCAATTTTCAGACCTTGCAATCGTTTATTATGCCCCTCACAATTAGAGTTGTCCTCTGATTTGGATGTATGTTTAGATCCATGGACCCAACGCTGACACTAGAAAGCTACCACTCTGTCTTCTGTACTTATCTGCTTAGGCAAGCTTGGAGATTACATTGCATTTGGTCTGCAGTTTAAAATGAACTGAGTTGTTTTTCACTTCACCAAGTAATGTGCAGAACAGCATGCTGTTATTTTCCAGCTTTTGTAATTTTCTGAATTTTGTAATGCAGTTCTTAGTTTAAAAAATCACAATACATAAAAAATACTGTAAGATAAATTACAGTTAGAAATGTATAGTTTATGTGAATGTATCTAAAATGGTATTTCAATATGAATGCCTCAGCAGACTTCTTAAAAAAAAAGAATCAGTACAGAAATGGGACAGGATGAATGTATGAATGAATACATGTAAAGCTGTCACAGCCTGCAAATAGACAAATTATCCGCCCTTCTCTAAGTAGCCTAGGACAGGGTATTTATTGGTCATAGCACAGGGAATAAGGCTGCATTCAGATTTTTTAAAAAGTCACTTTATGGGGATATTTATGCTTGGGTTCACACAACAAAAAAAGCCATGGTAGGTTATGAGCCAAGCCTATTTCACAGTGGCATGTTGTGTTGTGAGAACCCAGTGATGGTTATGCTTTGGTAACCAAACAGCTACATTGCAGTACATGCTTGTTTCTTAGAGTGAAAGGGGCGGTGCCCTATTAGGCTCAGGCTGCTCCATGCTTGCTGCCCCCATCTAGCTCCCTTCTTATCGGTAGGTAGCATGTGCCTTGCTGAAAGAGGGCAGTCTTCTGTTTGAAGGGCTGTCCAAGTACAGTTTAAAAAGAAAGAATGTGAAAGGGAGACCAGAGGCCTTGACTCTCCCCATGAACAGCATCTGGAGAGCAGATGAAACACTAACTGCCACCCAGTACCTATGAATTCTATGCCTATTTTAAATTACACATTTAAATTTACATCTCTGTGGTTGCACATGCAAATCAGTGTCCCCTTTTTTCAGTGCTGTGTTTCTTCTTTTGGGGATGATACATAAGTGACAAGCTACTTAGCAGCCAGGAGATGATACTAGCTGTCAGCCTCTTCTTTAGTCAGCAGAAAGGGGTTTGAGTTTGCTGTAAATCTGGTAGTGGTTTATCATCCAGTGCATAAAAGTTTTTGTAGTCGTTGCACAGGAGGAGAATGGGGACAAAAGCAGAATTATTGTCTCCCTCTACCCTTGGCTGCCCTCCCTCCCACATCACCATTTCCAGTGAATTCCAGTTGCCCCCTCCAAATTGCTATTTAAATCACGTATCAAGCAGTTATTAATGTTTCAGATAATGATATTCAGTATAGTTACATTATAACATCTCTTTATGTGGTAAACTCTCAATAAGGTAGCAACAAGACATTTGAAATATGCAGGTTATAGCCTTGATGCAGTCCAGTGCATTCTCCCAAATTCTTTACCTTTTACCTTCTTGATAACATAAAAGTTTCCACATTCATGTAACAGATGTTGTCCTGATTTTTGTAAAGCCCTTTTAATGATACCTTCACGTCCAGACAATAAATGCATTTTCTGTTGGTGTGTCTGTTTAATCTTAGGATTTTTATATTGCTTTCCGGCTATTTCTCTTCTTGGCCTTTTCCCACAAATCAACACTTTCTGCATATATCTCCTGGAACAAATAGATATGCTGCTCTTTGGTGGTTCTGGTAAGTGGTTTTTTATATTATCTCTACTAGCAAACTGTGGCAGCTTTGCACTGGTTAGAATAACTAACATTTAAGAAAGCAAAGCTTTCAAGCAAACTTAGGTAGCTGTCAGAAGTGGACAGAATTTCAGTAGCACCGTCAAAGCCTGCAGTGAGGTTGCATCTCTAGATTGTAGCACCTGATGTGTTTGCCTTTTCATGCTGTTTCTCATCTTTTCTTCCATGCTGTACCTGAGTAGAAAAGGCAAAGATGTGTTCACTACTAATTTGATGGTTGGCACAATAAGCAGTAGCACAGGGGTCTCTAATGTGTCACCTGCATTGGTGCTTATGAAGGGTCCTCAATGTAGTGCCTGTAGGTACCCATATTTTAACCCCCTCCCCCTTTCATGCATATATGGATTGTTATACAATGCATAAAACTTCCTAGCAATTATATGGAGGCTTTGGCAAAATCCGATCAAATATCCAAGTAAGTATCCATTTGAAGTTGGCTTGCACACGCTGTTTAAACGCTGGGAATATAAGGTTCTCAGTCTATTATTGGAGGTGTGCTTATCCTTCCAATTTTGTAACATTAGTGTTTTAGCTGCCAAAAGTGTGTGGAGAATCAATTTCCCCTTCTATTTGTTAATTTCCATGAAGCAAGTAAACAATTTGAAAGCATGCATGCATAAATGAATATTAAAGATGCATCTGCTTATTTCCTCCCAATGTTAACCCAAAAGAAACAACTGCTGGACATTGCCAAAACATATTTTTAAAGGAAGTATTAGTTGTATTGAAAGGCCAACATTTATTCAAATTATATAATCCCATATTTAAGAGTCGCTGTGGCATCCATTAGATATGAAACAAAGCTCTCTTGTTTTGCTGAATACAAGAGACCTTAAGATCCACAGGTGTGACCAGTAGATGTCAAAACAGCAATCCATTGCTTAGACATTTTGTGGCAGTACCCACAAAACTTTCTCCAATTCCCACATTTCCCCCTAGGTCCAGACAGTTTGCGGACCCCTGTTATAGCAATTAGACGTAGCTGACAGAAAATGTAAAAACTCCAAGGATGCCTGATGGAAATTGCAGATTTCCCAAAGCATATAACACAACAAAGGGGTGTTTTTTAAAATGTTAGTTTTAATCAGGGACTTCTGAGAGGTGTAAGCACAGGGTCCTGTGGTGCCGTGTACTTAGTCATACCTGTTCCTGTGTCTCACAACAACGTGGCATTTGTGATTTCATCTCATCTGTAAGATTGTGTTTTAAGGTTTGACATTCAGATCTCTCTGGGCTCAATCATTTGTCTGATTTTATGATCTAATATAATTTATCCAAGCAAAACATTCTGGGACTAATTTTTCTAACAAATTGGCAGGGGTCCTTCAAAGTTCTGATTTGTACTGCGGCACGTCTATCCGGAAGGGAAGCAGTGAATGTTGTTTTCTGTGTTTCAGCGGCTGCTGGGATGGTATCTTCACTGTACAGTGTTTCTCGAAGCTTTATCGTTGTAATTGTCCTGTATGCATTCTGCTTCAATGCAGTAAAGGTAAAGAGGAGTGCTTCTTGTGACAAAACAGGTCAATGATTGTAATGGCTTTAGCATCAGTTCCTCTGTTTTCTTTTAAGAGATCGGTATGCCTGGCACCCTGAATTCCATGATTTCTCTTCCTTAGAAAAAGTAGATACTGGGGTAGAAGGGAGATTGTGCAAATTGGTGTATTGCATGTGAATGTTTCAGTGTGGAGATCCTGCATCACACATTACAATTTTGTCCCCATTCTCTCACTGTGCAAAGTGGATTGTACCCTTTGTCTCTTGTGAAGATGGAAAAAGAGGTATTAGAAGCAGGAGGTGGTGGGAAATACTGTATGAGATTATGGAGGAGAGAATAGGGAGCTAATAGAAATGCATTCATACATTGCTTTGGATAGTTTTGTGCTTTCGTGGGGTTAACTGAACTTCCAAATTGTCTTTTTGATAAATAGCATTAAGGACAACCCTTTTAAAGATGTTCTGAGATTTACACATCTTTTCATAGCACAATTGTCTAAATTATACCAGGCAGGTGGTTGTGCAGATAAGCAATCTTGCTCATAGGCTAGATTTCACACTGCTTTAAAATGTGCTTATAATGCTACCCTGAAGTTGGAGAGTGCTGTGAAAGATTTACAAGATATCAGTGGCAAATTACACATATTAACTGCAGACTTTCCGTTCATAGAGAAAATTATACCTCATTTGAATTTTTATGACCCTGTCCTTTTTGAAGATACTCTTAAGCAGAATAATTAAGCATGCAAAAATGATGCCACTTATCTAATCTTCTAACCTTCATCCACTATAGGAATTTTCTTGTCTCTTTATATAGTGTGAAGCCTTGTGTCAAACCTGATTCCTTTAAGACAGCATGTTAGATATCTTTTATTGCCCTTCTAGGGCATACTTGCAGTGCAGTGGCACATGGTGCCAGTTCAGAAGAAAGGATAGCCTCATTGCACAGTATTTTTCTGCATACATTCTTTGTGGACCACATAGGGAGAACACAAGAACACAAAAATCCACTGTCTCCCCAGAGAGAAATTTGCCCTGCAGACTAGTGCAGGTGCTACAGAGAAATACAAAGGATAATCTGAAGAAAAACCATGGGGAAGAAAAAAGTATACTATAGACAACATTAATTAGAAAGAAGTCACAATGCTTCAGGACAATCAGTAATATTTTTTTTAAAATTACATTAAAGAGTGTCATACAGCTTTAGTATAAAAATATTTATGCACAAATATGGGATATGCTTCTGTCCATCCCATTTCCAAAAGGAGATAGAAGAGCTGGAGGGGGCAGTGGGGGTAGCATAATGAACAGCAGTAACAGTGGAATGGCTTCCATATGAGCAGCAGTGAATAAGATCACAGCACCTTTTGAAAGGAAACAGATGGGGAGACAAGAGACATAAAATATAAAGAAGGAACACCTGTGTTCCCTTTTATACAACATTCAGTTTCCTGTGAAATGTAGAATCTGATGTTTTTAAGCAACCAAAGCAAAATGTCATGCTGTGCACAAGTGACCCATGGATCTGTTTGCTAAATGGCTGTGATGAGGGTCATTAATATAACCTGAACTGTATAAATTGATATATAGGGCACTAGAAATCCTATATTGTCCAGGTTACTTCCTTTCCACTTAATAATCTCTCTAGCAATTCATTCAGCTTCTGATATTTCATTGCAAATTGCTCATATACTCTTATCTTTGCAACCATAAAGGACAGAAATGTGCTTTCAAAAAATGAAATTGGAGACTGACATCCATGTACTGTATTCTGCAGTTCTTCTGCATTCCAGTATCATGGCAGAGACAACACCCATGGGTTGGGTTCTACAAAGGAAGCAGGAACCCATTTTGCATTTCCTTTACTCCTAGGGAATATCAGCATCTTTGGGAACAGGTTCCTCGTTTACCACAGATACAAATTTCACCTAATAATGTGTGTAAAGCATAGAGCCAGTTCCACATGGTAGAGGTTTTCCTTCCAGAGTCTAGGAAAAGCCAGAGATAGTATCATCCCCAAAATCAATAGGTCCAAGATCCTCAAGCACCAGAGAGTCAACATGTTTCAGATAGTTATTTCTCAGCTACAGTGATGCCTTTGTGATTTTCTGCTGGTCTTTTGTGTGTCGTGCCATCAAAATCATGACATCTGTATACATGGTCTCCAACTAAACTGAGAATAGACTGGTATATGTTACTACCTCCTGGGTCTTAGTTCTCAAACACAGGCTTCAAAATAACTGGCTCAGATAAAAGAATCAGGGTGTGTGTTAATGCCAAGTCAATAACTACTCCATTATGACCTTGTACTTTTCAACATCTCTTCTGAACCACTGATTACAGTGCAGAGCTGTATGGCTAAAATTAGTGACTAGGGGTACAATCCTATACACATTTAGAGAAAAAAAGGCTTACAGTTCCCATCATCCCTTGGCCATGGCTGTGGCATACTGAGAATTCTAGGCCTTTTCTCTGCCTAAACATGCATAGGATTGTGCCTTAAGGCCTAATAACTTCAACGGAAGCAGCATCACAGTCTTCCTCATTCCATATTCATTTTAATCTGCCTTCTTTAATTAAAAAGGAATGGAAGGAAGAAAAGGTTGGAAACTCCCCCAGCATGTTTTTGAAATGCAGGGATATGATTAGATTTGGGACCCTCTGGGTGCAGAGCATGTGCTCTACCAGTGACTCATTTCCCTTTACCAAGTTTGCAACTTCTTCGTGAGCACAGAAGCACTTTGTCCACGACTGACCTACCTCATTGGATGGTAATTTATAGCACAGCATTGCTGTTGGGATTTTATCCTCTGTGAAAATAGGCTGGCTCTGAATTCAGAGGTAGAATACCTATCATGGCAAATGTACATTGGCTGTCCACCTACTGCCTGATGGGACCTCACTCCACTTTCTTGTTAGGCTTTCCTTTCACCTTCCCTCTCTGGAAATTAGCCCAGGAAGATGTAGGGACTACAGACTGGCCAACATGGTGCTATGTTGATACTTAATTGATTTATTTATTTGATTGCTTGGTTAGATTTATATCCCACCCTTTTTTTAAAGAACTCAAAGGGGCTTCCATCCTAATTCCATTCTAATCCTCCAGCTCTCCATCTTATCCCCACAACAAGTACCCTGTGTGGAAGGTTGAGCTGAGAGTCTGTGACTGGCCCAAGATCACCCACTTGGCTATTTGGTTGAGTGGGAACTAGAACCCAGATCACCTGAGTCTCAGTCCCACGCTCTTAACCACAGTACCATGCCAGCTCTCAGTGAAAAAAATAGTGCTATCTAACCAACTTGTCCCTCTGGTCTGGGTGTTACTGGCCCATAACTGCTTACTTTTCATGTCAGACCATTTCTTCACTGGAGACAGATCCTCTGTCTCTGGTGGCAGTAGGATGCATGCTATGCCTATGTCCACAAATGCCTATGTCCATTTTTCCCCATGAATATAGTTACTCTTCATGCCTTTCTTAACAGGTGGGGTTGGTGTACTTTAAATCATGGTGAAGTTTAAAATCATGATAATCTTCTGCAGTCATCAGTCATATTAATGAGGCATGAACTTCTTTTTAGTAGCAGTGATTTAATCCATCCACCCATAACTTTGACTAATTTGGCTCAATTAAAGTTTCAGAGTGGCAGTGTGTAGAATGTAATGATACCTTCCAAACAGCAAGAATTCCCAGTAGAATTTTTTTTAAAAAAATACAAGGTTTGATGTCCACAGATGCTTATTTAAGACAATTCAATGATTCATTAAGTACCGTTCAGTTAAGTAGAAAACTCTACTATCAACATATAAAAGTAATTCAATATATGGGAGAGTGCTTTGGAGACTAGCTATAAATTGAGAAAATCTTTCCAAATTAGATACCCTTGGGGTCTTCTTTATGGCTGTTACAGATATAAACTCTGTAAAGAGCTTCAGGTTTTATACTGTTTCTTATCTCCCTAGTGGCAAGATACTCAAAGATGTAAAAATTGACTGTGTTGTGATTTCTCATCATGCTTTCCCCTCAGGAGATAGGCTTTCAGTATATACTGGCAGTAGCCTGAGTATGGAAGTATTAATGAAGTGCCAACAGAGAAACCTCTGAATCTCAAAGCAGAAGTAGTAAAAGAGTTGAAAGAATGACAGTAATGGACAGTAACAACTCCATGCTGACATATTTAGGCCCAACTGATATGCGCAAGCAATGCCTGTAGTTGTTAACTGACATACAACCCCATGGAGGAAGCAGCACAGGGCTAGCAGTTGGTGTAGGACAGCTCCCTGCACAACTCCAGTAATTCCAGGCACAACTGCACAACCTTTTGAATTTATTGTATTTTTGTCATGGTGGTTTGTGGGAGTTAATTCACACATTCTCCATTCACATTTCTGCCTGGACCTGCTTCTGTACATGCATACATGCCTCAAGACAAACATGGAATCAAAGGTCTCTTTCCCAGAGGTGTAGCATTGTTGGAGGATGTGAATTCATCATGCTTCAGCCAAAAGGGGACCAGCTTCTCTAAAGCGGCATTTGTTCAAGTAATATTAAAGTCAAAATGTACAGGCTTTTTTAAAGCACATGCATGTCAACACTGTAAAACAGAAAAATGGCTTGGTTGGTGTACCAGCCGCATAGTATGTGAACCAATATGCTTGTTCTAATTGTCCTAACCTACATAGAGCAAGATGAAGACAGAAGACTTGATATTTGACAAATAAGAAGATGGAGAAGGAACTATGGAAATTGGCCAAAGCAAAGTGGGTGTTAGTGGACTGAGCGGGGAGTGTAGATGGATAGATTCAGAAGAGGAAAGGAAAAGCAATAGCACTGAAATACTTAAAATTACTTTTCTCTGGAATAAAGTGAATAGAAAGGACCTTCCTTCCTGGTTTGTCACATGTAGTTAGAAAATCATCATGTGCTCAGGTCTCTCTCTCCCTCCCTCCCTCCCTCTCTCTCTCTCTCTCTCTCTCTCTGATTATGGGTTCAGAATGGGGTGAAAGTCTCATCCCACTTTGACACTATTGGTATGACATCATACAGGAACAGCTAATCAATGATTTTTTCCTATGGTGGTCTTCACACACCTGTTGCTCACAGCAATGATGGTGAGATTAAGAGAAGACTGAAACCAGAACAATTTTGTTGCAAAAAAATAAAATTTAGAAGAAAGAGCCTTAAAGTGAGGCTTAGAGTCAAGTAACAAATATAGAGAGATAAGGAGATTTAGGGAGAGAACGCAAGGAAAAAACTACCAAAAGTTATCCAAAACATAAAAATTGGCTAAAATGGTTGGGATTGACTTGAAACCCTTATAGCAGCTTCCACAGTGCTCCGGATTCCCTGATTGACCACCACCATTGGACGAAAAAAAGCCATTCATATGGAGAAAGTAAGAAATTAAAAGAGGGAATCCCTCAGAGGAAATCAGTTGCATTACATATGAGTGGACCCACAGACTGATTATATCACAAGGCCCATGGAAGGCTTGACTCCCTAAAGCATGGGTCCTCAAACTATGGCCCGGGGGCCTTATTCGGCTTGCCATGCCCATTTATCCGCCCTGCCATGCCCATTTGGACCCGCCCCACGCACCCGCCGCTGCCCACCTCTCCCTTTGTGTGGGGAGGCAGCAGTTTGCTCACTCAGAGGAAACGATCTCCAAGCAAGCAAGCCACTGCCTTGTGCGCCCACCTCACAGCGCATGCCCGCCTCTGCCTCGCCTCGCCTCAGCTTGCCTTGCCGCACCCCCCGCCTAAATGTGCCTGCACACTTCGCCGGCACCACCTTTCCGGCCCGCACCCAGCACCGGCAGCTTTCAACTGGCCCCCTTGTGGAAAAGTTTGAGGACCCCTGCCCTAAAGAAAGCCACCAACTGAATTCACAAGAGCTGAACAAGGCTGTCATGGATAGGACATTTTGGAGGATTTCCATACACGAGGATTGTCATAGGTTGAAGATGACTTGATGGCCCAGAACAGCACATGCTGATCACAATGTGTTTGTATGAAGCACTGGACTGCATGTGAACTTTACTGGGCAAAGCTGGGACTACCTGGAATTCTCTGGGCAAACGGAGCAGGAAGGTGGTTCAAGAGAAGGAGACAGGAGCAGTCTGGTCTTTCAAATACAAGTTGGGCACCAGAGTGGAGCATGGAAAATGCTAGTGAGGTTTAATGAGGAATGGCCTTGGAAGAGTTGTTTCTTTATTCAAAGCATTTTTATCATGTTCCTCGACCAATGCTCCCAGAGCAGTTTGCATAGAACTTTCCCTGTCAGCATATTAAATCTAAATCCTAATCTAACTTAATTTGAATTAAGTGAACCCTGGCCTGAGTTTGGAGCTGTGTGAGAAGCATGTTCATACATCTTGCCAGACCACCTGTGCAATAAGCCACGGTGGACTGGCTATTGTGGGAACAACCCACATTCTCTCTGACACATGACTGGGCTCATCCTGGGTTGTTTATCTCTTAATTCCTCCCTGGTCCCCATGGCATACCTGTCTTGCCTGCCTCTGCTTGTCGTGATCACAAACACCTTTGTGCTCACCATGGCTTCCCCACCATTTCCCCCTCCCTTTTTAAGACTACTTGAAAACTTGAAATTTGACAGTGACAGTTCCTTCCAAGTGTCCAAAAAGGCAGTTCCATAACAACACCTGTCGCTGCATCCATGTGGTTGTGTGGGAAACTGAAAGGCAACAGTTCAATTTACTGACCTATACTGAGGAACATAGGCAACAAACAGTTCTTTAAACTGAGGAGGACATTTGGGTCCAGACCTGCTGTTCTGACTCTGACCCAGGATTTCCTGAAGAATGGGAGAGACAATTTTTGCACGGTTCCTACCACTTCAACTCCCAGTGCTCTCTACTGTGGTCTTCCTGTGGGTCCTCTTTTTTTCTAGAGCAGCCATTTATCAAATACGTTGCATATTTTGCATTTGAGACTACTGCATGTTATTTCACTGAATGGAAAATTAGAATTGCATCAGAATTATTGGTTTTCATGGCTCTTTCTTAATTGGTGTTTTTAAAGCTACTGTGGTTTATATAATTATTCATTGTGTATGAAACGTGTTCTCTCATATCAGACAGACTGAGATACAACATAATTATTGTTATATGTTGAGTAACAGTTGCACTACTGTAAATTTAAGAGACAGTGTTTTGCTTTTTTGAAACCAAGTTTTAATTCATAAAATAAAAGCATTCGTTCTCCCTTGCACCCCTCTTATATTTCTGCAGGAGCCATGGGATGCACAACATATTCCTGCATTGTTTTCTGCTTTTTGTGGCCTTTTAGTTGCACTTTCTTACCATCTGAGTAGGCAAAGCAGTGACCCATCTGCTTTAATGTAAGTCACCAGAAATCATATTTTCATTTCTTTGCCAGTATGGTTTACATCAATGGCATTTCATTTATAAAAATATATTTATAAACCACCTTTTAGCCCTAATAGGGTTCCTTTCATGGACAAGTGAGATTTTTAAAATACCACAAAAGTGAAATCAACTATCAACCTTGCCTAAAATAGAGAAAAGAAAAGAGCCAAGCCAAGTGAAATAAGAATATTTGTAAGTGTTTCTCAGAAACTTAGCAGAGATTTGGCTGCTCTGATTTCTGAGCGCAGATGCAGAAATAGCCCTGTCCCAGGCTGACTCAGGAATGCTGGGAATTGTGGAACTTTTTTGACTAAGCACCCTTAGCCTCTTTTGATGGTGAGCCATAGAAGAGGGCTGTAAATTTTGTTAAATTATAGACACATTCCTATGAGAGGAAACTTCCTACTTCATTGCTGACACAACAAAAATTCCTCTGTGTGCCATGTGTAACTGTACATGCAGTCGGGGTGCAAGCTGCACCGATTTTCACAGCAGAGGACACAGGAATGGATCTGTGATCACTGTTAACATTCCAAAAAGACATGTATACTATTTTCCTTTAAAACACACACAGCTATTAATTCTTACTTATTAAAAGAAAATGCACTCTTTTCTTTTGCTTTAAATAAGGAACATTGCGTCCTTGAAATCATTGCTTGGTTGCCTTGTACAGTTTCTAATCTCTTCTAATACCTTTAATCACATCTCTGTAGTTTGAATTGCTCTTAAATATCTTGTTTGGGATTAAAACACTCATTTCTGATATTAAAAGCATAAAATATTCATAGAATAACTATTATTAAAGTGCATAATCCACTCCCCTAGAATTACTTTGAACTAAATTAAAGGGGGATTCAGGGAACGGGGGGTGTATAAAGTAGATACAGTATCATAGAGATGAAAAAGAAGTTGGAAAATAAAGCTAGATTTGAAATTAGCACATTTTCTACTAACGTTGCTATTTTTGCCTCTAAAAAGGGACTGCTTGAAAAAAAGAGAAGCAGTGAAATTTATGGTGCAGTCCTATGCATCTTAGGCAGAAAAGGTTTCCATATGCTGTCTAGGGAAAACTGCTGTTTGCATTCTCCAGCAATTGGTATATAGAAGTGTATTGGATAGATACTGGTATACTACTTTCTGTCATACTGAAAGTAATGTATAACCAACATAACCATTAATTAATTAATGTAAAGCATTATCCTGCTTCTCAGCCAAAACAGCTCCTGGAGCAGCTTCTATACAAGCAGTCCCTGCCTACAGACTTACAATATAAAAGGAAAAAGGACTTCTGTAAACATATAATTAACAAGTTGTTTCTTTCTTAAAAACTAGATCACTTATCCAGTATAAATATTTTCCCCATTTTCTACATCAACATTTGGACACTTCACAGGCTGATCCACTTCCTGAGAAGATGAGAGAATCAGTGGTAGGTTTTCTTTATTCACTTTAATGGAAGCAAAAGCATCCATTTGAAATCTAACAAAAGTACTGCAATGTTATTTTACACACACAGTTTGAATTATCAGTGTCAAGATGTCTGATTGAATTATTTAAATATCTAGCAGAGAAATAACTCTGGGTAGAGCTGTGGATTTCTTCAGATGGGATGTTTGTTGAATGAGAAGTGGAAAAGTTTTAGGGATGAGACAGAAGGTGGCCTTCCTCACTCAAACTTTTTTGTCTTGGCATGTAGAAGGAAATTACTGGGATCTCTTCATGTTGTAAGATGAGTGTGAGTAGAAATTTTCTCCATTTTCCATGTGAAAATTGGCAGCAATTTGACGTATTCCGCAGAGTTAAAACAGATGCGGTGCAAGGAACTGTGTTCTTTTTTTTAATCACCTGAAAACAGCTGCAATGGGGCTTTGATATTGATCAGGACAGCAGCACTGGCAGAGTGGGGCTTAATTCTTTCCTTCTGGGTTATAATCTAAATTGCAACTCCAGACCCGATACTAGCTCATGGAGTGGGAGAGAGCAGGGTGGATGGAGGGGGCCTTCAGACATGGCATAGGTACCTTTGTACTGAAGAAATGCATTAGCTTAGTGCTGGTGTACATGCTTTGCATAAATATGTCCCCAGGTTCAATCTCCATCTTCTCTAGTGAGAGCTAGGAAGATTCTTATTTAAAACTTCGGAGAGGTGCTATCAGAGTAGTGGGCTACATTGACCAAGACGCTAATAGAGTGTATTTGTTTCTCTCGCAAGTCTCCTTGTATCCATGAGAAAAATTTTTGGAAAAGTCTGTGGATAGCTCAGATCCAATCACAGATCTTTCACTGTACGTGTCTCTTTTGGTCTTTTGATAGACCACCCTGAACTTAAGCACTTCACTCTGTGAAGTCTTCATCTTTGGAGAGCAGCAGGTATTTAGAGACTATGTAAGAGAGATGATGCAAGGGAATGTAAGGGTTTTATTCAATTTGTTCCTGCTGTATTTTGCAGGTTATTGAAAACCTTTCACTCTCTTGTCTACTCACTGTTGGAACTGGAGTTTGCACAAATATGTTTATACACATCTGTGCACATTCACACTTCTGAAAATGTTGAAATCTCCCCATGATGTACACTTTCATGCTTTAGTCTATGGGAGGAAATTCACATTTTTTTATTTTCAGTATTTTTATTTTTCTATACTAACTTTGCATAAAATAACAGAAGGTTTAAAGAAAGATCTGCAAAATCTGTGTGACTCAGGAAAAACCAGTCCACTGCAGAATCCATGGATCAGATTTATAGAAACCCAAACTCATTTGAACCCATCATGGATTTCTCCAACATCCCTAGTCGTGTCTCATACTTCTTTTTTCTTCACTCCTCAGTATAGTCTGACAAATAGGAGCTTGTACATCTTCCCCAAGGGAAGCTGGATAAGGTGCATACACACCTCGAAATCAGAGAGGAGAGATACATATGTGTCTACTCCATATATTATGGAGGAACTGCTTGTCCACCATGCATTCTTGGATACCATGTGTTTAATAGCCAAAGCCACTCTTTGTCTAGGTCTGAGTGTGATCTCTTTTTCTCGTTGTTTTTCAATTATATTCTCAAGATATTCTCAATATATCTGCAATCCCACTTGGGAGTTGCAAAGAATGTTTGAAAGAACTCTGTTTAGCCTTGAGGAAAGAAAACCAAGGGGAGATCTAAAGTGTTGTCACACAGCAGAGGAGTGCAACCTATTTTCTCTCAGACAAGGTTGTAAGACAAGAATCAGTAGGCCTGTGCTACAGGAAGGCAGATTTTAGTTGAACATCTGGGAAAAGCAGTGGTCAAACAATGGGACCAACTGTCTAGGGAGATAGTGAGCATTCTGTATTTTAGCGGAGACTGGGCAGACATCTCTCAGGAATGCAGTAAATGAAACTGTGCACTAAACGAGGTGGACACAGCGGTCTAAATGTCCCCTTTTAACTCTGATTCTATAATTATTATTGCTACCAAGTCAAGCTGTATTAAGCAGAAATGCTAAACAGTAAACCAAAAGTGGTATGCTAAAGAAGTAATAGCACTGCTTTGCTTGTTATGCATTACATTATAATATTAACACTTGTACTCATGTAAAGTATATTGTAGATAATATTTATTTTAAGTTGCACCCCTTGACATCAATAAATGTTGAGGTGGTTTTAATTGGTCCTCTCCTTTAGATAACTCCAAAAGCATTTTCTATTTAATGTACATCTCTGCAATTTCCTCATCTACATTAGAAGTAACTTACTTTGCATTTTCCAGTAAGCTCTGCTACATTTTAGTTGTAGAACGGTTTGTCAGTCTTGGTGCCTACAAATATAAAGCAGCTGTGCTGGATAATTGACCATTCAACTTTGGGGATGAAGCTTCCTAGCTTTATAATTAATTTCATAGACATCTGCATGGTCGATTACTGCATAACCAGCAACCTAAAGGTATTCATGTTTTACATTCAAGCCCGACTTACTTCCTGGCTTGTCAATACCAACAATAGAGAACCAATGACTGTAACAGTTTGCACAGAGCAGAAAGAACTCCAGTTGAATGCAAAAAGAAGACTCCCATAGTTTAATCTTTTGGGTATGAGGAATACCTTTATGAGATGTTTCATTTCTAGAAAGTGGAGATGAAAGTGTAAGCATTTTCCCAAGGCCTGCTTTATATAAGTTCGCAACCCTAGCCACCCTCCCATCAGACTTACTATTACCAAATATTTTATTGTCATGAATACTCCTTATTTATTTATTTAAAACTTTTTTAGACCATCCATTACCGTGGTCTCAGTATGGTTTAACAGTAAGACAAAATAGAATAAAACATGGCATATGCAGTGGGCTGAATTTCTCGTCACACTGCTAGTTTATATCACACATATCTAGTGGCATAGCAGAGTGGATGGAGACGTGCACTGATCTGTAATGCAAAGAATAGGAATGTGATAATGAGCATCGATATCTGGATGCACACTTCAGTGCAAATGTGCCCTGGAAGTACTCCCCCACTTGCTCTGCAGGATGGACTGCCTTCTATACATGCCACATTAGGATGGGCCACATTAAATAGTTTCACTAACTTTTCCTTCACACAGCAGAATCCGGTACACGGATTTTGCTAGCTGAGGGCCAGCAGGTCATATCCAGTGGTGTCAGTGGTGTCTGTCCACAACAGAACAAAAAGCTGTGGCAGAATGGTTTGCACCTCCCATCTGCAGCACCCCCAAACCCCCAGTTCTGCTCTGGTGGGTTGGGAAAACCTGCTGTGCAAGCAGTCCTGGGCTTGCACAATGTTAAACCGTAGGATTTGGTGGAAGCCTTAGTCTCCAGGCATAACTTCAGATACACTACCAGAATGAAAGAAGTGTATCCAAGGAAACCAAAGATGCCCAAAGCAAATCTGTGAAGGACAGCATGCACTGCTGTGAGTATTCTGTACTGAAAAATACTCAGTACAGATTTATGAAAATATTCTCACTTTACAAGTATGCCCAGTTCTCACTAAAATACCTTTTTCATTTTTATCCTTTTTCAAGCATCTCAAGAAAGCATCTATTTATTTATTTATTTATTTATTTATTTAAAACTTTTGTATGCTGTCCCCCATGCAAAGCATCTTGGGATGGCTCACAATCAACACATTAAAACAATAAAATCACATACGTTAAACCAATCCAAGCGATAAAAGCAATAAAATGCATCTGTTACATTAATACTAGTTTTTAAAATACCGGTTAAATAAAAAGGTTTTGACCTGGCGCCAAAAAGAGTATAAGCTTGGAGCCAGAAGAACCTCTCCGGGGAAATGTATTTAGACATTTATTTACGAAATGTCTGTCACAGCCTTGGGTTTATTCCATGCATCTATTGTTAGCCTCACAACAACCCTGTGAGAAAGTGATCAGCCCAAGGAGAGCTTTATGGCCTAGTCTGAATCCAGCTCTCCCTGCCCTATTCTGACGTCACTGAGCCCTTCAAGTATCGTATCTGTGCAACTTCGCTACTTTCAAAGAATCTTGTGAACATGGGAGCAGGGGTGGGAAGGGGCACTGGATGAATGATGCTTTTGCTTTGACGTCTTTTGTATTAGATCCAGCAACAGTAAAAGTTTTGCTGTCATTTAAAAGAGTGTGATTTTTGTTTGAACATTGAGGAAGTGCTGACAGAGAACATACTTTTCAGCAGTAACTAATGGACCCGTAATGCAACTGTCAACAGCTGGGGATGGAGTAGTTTAATTTGGCAAGTCAAAATAATCCTTACTTGAGTTTTTATACTTTACAAATTATGTTCACAGAGGGAGACCTTGAAGTCAGATCTCATTGTGTGCTCATTGGCTGCTGTGCTGTCATTTGCAGTCAGTGCCAGTACGGTGTTCTTGTCGTTAGGGGTAGGTATTATAATTCTTCCTTTCTCCATTATTTCCTAAGTTCTAATTATCCTCATTATTCAAAGCAATAAAGTGATACAACAGCCTACTACAGAAGACATAGTAGATAATATATTTGCTTATAAGGAGTAATGGGAGTTTCATATCACTTCAAACACAGGAATCTAGTTGCAAATAGATAGTCATCTGTTATAATTTACCAAGAGATTTTCTAGCAGCAGTAACAATGCCCCTGGCACAAATTGGTTCAACTAATATCTTGGAAAGTTTATGAACATTCTGAATGCTGATGGAAGTTGTCAGCCATGGAATATTTACAGCAGCCAAGCTTCATGAGCCAAAGTAAAAAGTTAGTTTAAATAAAGCTTTGCCCTGGTTAAGGATAAGAGAAAATATAGGTAAGATAGGGAGACGAAAAACTGTGGGAAGAAGCCCTGCGAGGAAGAGAAGGAAGCAGAAGCTAAAGGGCAGGGAACGAAGAAGTAGGTAGCTGAATGAAAAACATACATTTAAAGGAGGGAATCAACAAGAGACAGGCACATGAAGGACAGAGGAGATGGAATTCAGTGGGTGAGGAAGGCAAGGCAGTGTTTCAGAGGGACACTTGGCAGGCAGAACCAGCAGAGAGATTTGCTAAGAGCCAGAGTGACTCAAGGAAGTGAATTGGTGGGGTTGTTTCTGAGGAATCAGTAGTGATGGGGGCATGGAGCTGAAGCAAGGGGTACGCAAGAACAAAGAAATGGAAACGGCTCCTTTTCCTGTGGGTGTGTGTGGCTGTTTGCAAATGCACAGCACCATGATGGGAAAATCAGCTAGTAACACTCTCACTTTTCTGGAATTAGGAATACAGAAGCCATCTCAGGATTAATGGGGTGCAGCCAGCCCTTGGGAGTGATAGAACTGAATCCTTTAAATTGATCCAGGCTGCTGCCAAAAGAGCAAGAATACTTATTCTAGACAGGCCTTTTTAGTAAAGTAAAATGAATTGAAATGATACAGGCTTTGCTTCGTCTTTTTCCCAGCAACAGCTTTGCCTCTGAAAAGGCATACTTTAAACAGCTAATTTAGTGGTGGAGCCAAAAAGCTTTAAGAATTAAAAGAGAAGAAAAAATGCTTCCAAAGTGAAATTTGACATTCTGAAGATTTATTCAAAGCCATGGTTTAGGAACCTGGATAGTTTCAATCAATCAGAGATAAACCACAAATTATGTGATTTTTTACAATGTGCCCAAGGCTTGCTCACATAGCATTTATCCACAGCTTACCATCATGATCAAACAAGGCCACTGTGTGGAGTGTTATACCACTGCCAGCTTTAGCCAGATGTATTGTGTGTAGTATGTACACCAGTTCTTCTTGGTTTTGCCTTATGACTTCTATTCTGAGGAAAGAATAATACATGACCTGAAGCATTCCTTGTACTACATCCTTGTAGCCGGCATCCTCAGCGTTTCTGATCTCACATTCAGATGCAATTCTCTTATGAAACACTTTCTGCATTTTATCACCTGGCTTAGTGGACTCCTTAGAATATGACTGTGGCAAGAAAATGTTTAACAGAGGTAGCTAGACTCCTAGGGCAGCATTTCTTTTCTTGTTTCTTGAGCTAAAGTAAGTTTTGTACACTAGAGCACATTGTAAAAAATAGAGTAGGTTTTCCTTTCATTTCCTCAGTCCTACATCTGTTCCCCACCTGCTACATTTGCAAGCATACAATGTTTTCAAAGTAAAAACTGGCAAGTCTTGAATGAGAAGGCTTCAGGAAAACCCTGATGCTTTAGATTTAAAAACTATACTTTGTGGTTTTTAAAATACTGTCTTCAAATGAGATTTAATTTCTTTCCCCTTTCTTTTTAACCTAGCCATTTCTCAGCCTTGTGCTTTTCACTTTAGCATGGACTGTTGGATTCGTAACGCACTATATACTTCCTCAGCTTCGCAAACACCACCCATGGATGTGGATTGCCCACCCTATTCTTAAAAATAAAGAATATCAAAAGAGAGAAATAACAGGTGTGTAACGGATCCTCCCACATTTGAGATAAGACCATGTGTTCATGCTCTGTGTGTATGGGTGAAAACTGGACAGTGAGGAAAGCTGACAAGAAAAAAATTGATGCATTTGGAACATGGTGCTGGAGGAGAGCTTTGTGAAATACCCCGGACTGGCAGAAGGACAAACAAGTGTGTCCTAGATCAAATCAAGACAGAACTTTCTCTAGAAGCAAAAATTACAAAATTCAGGCTGTGACACTTCGGACACATCAGGAGAAAGCAAGACTTACTGACGAAGACAATCATGCTAGGAAAGTAGAAGGCAGAAGAAGAAGACTGAATAACTGATGTATTCATTCCATAAAGGAAGCCACAACCTTGAATTTACAAGAGCTGGGCAGGATTATGTAGGACATGTGGAGGGTATTCATTTGTAGGGTAGCCATCTATATATTTTACATAAAATTGATGTGATATTTTTGTACATCATTATTGGCTGAGTTATTGTTCTGAGAAGACAAAAGAAATGGAAAATGGTCAGAAAATGAGTACCCTTTCCATTTCCTAGGAAAATCAGTTGCTAAATGCAGGAAAAATAGCCTATCACAAATATGCAGAACACTATTAGTCCTTGCCACAGAGACACCAGGAAGAGAAAAAGAAGATTGGGGTAGTATTCAGCTAATCTGAATTCTCTTTACCAGTTTCACATTAAAATTAGCCAAAATGGATGCTCGCAGAAATATTGTTCTGCAGATTCCATTCTGACTAGAACCTCTGTAGAATATGCATGCATGCACCCCCTTTTGCATTACAAATTATTTTAGGTTGTTTCCTTTTTAATCCAATTGCTTGTAATCTTTGCAGATTTCACTATAATTCTCTAGAGAACCTAGATCACAATAACAAAAAATCACCCTGTTTGCATATCTCAGATAAGACTGTTACATTCAGAAATTATCTAGTTATTTTTTGTTTCCATCTATTGGTTCAAGCAACTCATATATTATTTCTTCCATTATGTATTGGTCCATCCTAAATTCGTTCCTGTGTAAGGGAGAGAGTGCTTGAGAGGGTGGTTTGTGGTGGTGTGTGTCCCTTCTCCAGTTCTCCATGTAGCTTGTGGTTCTCCAGGACCCCTTCACAGCAAACTAGGAGGCAGCAAGTGCCATCATTTTAGTGCTGATCACACACACCTGATCATGGTGTGAATCAGGTCTTGAAGAGCAACAATGAATGAAAAGTACTGTGTGTCTCAGCGCATGTGAATGTTCCAGATTGCATTTCTCTGTCTTTCTCCTCTAACAAAAGCAAAAGAAATAATATCAGAAGGTGCTGGAATTTATCACTGATGCTTTCAAAGGAGAATCTGATACATTTTGAACTTGGGCTAAAGTATTACAGTCCAGGGTGTATTCAGTTTGATTTCTCCAGCAGCCACAGCTTGGATGTAAGGTGACTCTTGATTTTGTGCTAGTGTCCTGCTGAAGGGAGATGAGATTGCTGCTTATACTTGGGAGGAAGGATCCAGTAAGCAGCATCACAAGGTGAAGGAGATGGTACAGGGACAAGAGGAAATCATATGGGTCAAAACACCATCCCCCTTATTGTCAGTTCCTCATGCTTGGGGCCATTTTTTAAACAGAGTTTGTATGGTTTTGCATGTAAACTGCTCTTCGAAATTGTAACTAATAAGACATTTGTATCACCTCTGCAACTTTGCTAATTGCTGCTGTGCAATTTCTTTAGAGGCCAAGGAGAATTCAGCACAGGATTGTCTGGCATGAGCGGATACTGTGCTATAGGAGTGAGTGATGGGTTGTTTTGTTTAGAACCATCTCTACCATCTGTATTTTCCATTCATCTTTATAACATTCGTTTTAAGTATGATACTTCATTGGCTTAGCTTTGCACAGTATATGAAGGGCATCTTTTTAAGTAAAAAGTAAATAAACCAGACCCTATGCCTTATAATAAACTTCAGTGTTTACATTTCTGGCAGATTTTTTTTCAGTTATTTGGAAGGAGAACAAAATTTGATTGAGATGCTCATAGCAACCTGCAATTTTAATTTCCTGCACTGCAGTCTCATGAGGAATCTTACATTTGAATTAAAAAGTCATATTGTAGATATTGTGGAATATGCAGACCTCAGCCAGTGGTTGCTTAAGCAGCAGGAACTGCTGTACATATTGTTAAAATTCAGATACTTGTCTCCAGTTGTGCTGGGAATCCCTCAATGAGGAGACATCTTGCCTTTGATACTGGTTATTCTTCAGCAACCTTCCTTTATCTTGCTCCAATTTAAAAACTTGCTGTCAACTTTTGATGGGTCTGTGTTTTAATCATTTTTAATGTATGTGTTCAGCATGTTAGAAGATAAGGCTGACAGAAAACAAGGGGGCTTGTGTGACCTCCATCTTCTCTCAGAACCAACCTGACTACTCATTTTCTACACATGCATGCACACACTTTATAACATGCATTATTAAATTAAATGTCTGGGAGCGGGTAGTGAATAAAGTAATGTGCCCACAGAAACATTCTGTTCAAAACAGCATACAAAACACTATCCAAAGCATTCAAACAAAAATTACATAACAAAGGTGGGAGAGTAAAGAGGCAGACTGCTCCTCTTTTATTTTTCAGTCGAAAATAAATTTTTTACAACCAGCATGTATTTGAATTGACCAAAAGCAGACACATAAAATAGTCTTGTGGTACAGTTTTCTAGGGTCTTAATATGCTAGCAGATTAGGTACTTGGTGCTTGGTTCTTGGTTGTTGTGATTTACCCTCAATTTATCTAGTTACGGCATTCCCATGAATTAATGACCTCCAAAATGTCCTTTCCTTGACAGTCCTGCTCAGATCTTGCAAATTCAAGTCTGTGGCTTCCTTTATGGAACTGATCCATCTCATAGTTGCTCTTCTTCTTCTTCTTCTTCTTCTTCTTCTTCTTCTTCTTCTTCTTCTGCCTTCCACTTTCGCTAGCATGATTGTCTTCTCCAAGGAGTCTTGCTTTGTCACGATGTGTCCAAAATACGACAGCATCAGTTTAATTATTTTTGCTTCCAGGATGGCTTCATTTAGTTTGTTTTTTATGTAGTATCAAATTAAAAATTGTTTTCCAAAATATTCCTTAAAACATTTTCTCCCAAAGCCAACTTGAAAATGCTTTGTGACTAGAGAGGAAATTCAGTGTATTTCAAGCTCAGGTATGCTTCTAAACGGGGTAGCTGGCAGGAGCCTCAGTTCAGAAACTGAAATCTTGGTTCAAAGTTATAAATACTATAGGGGAGAGAGCAGATTTTTGAATGAAAAGTTGACTGTCTGAGGCTACTAATATGACACAACAGCCTACGTTGGGTTATTTAACCCACAGTGAAGCTATATTGCACACAGCCACTGTTATGAATATGCAAGCCTCAGTCAGGGGTTGCTGTGTGGAGAAAACTCTCTGAGCATGGTTTCTATGAGGGTTAAACAGTTGTCATACAACCCATGGTCTATTTCAGATTAACAAGGACTGTTTAACCCTCACATCTGAATCCATGCCTGCTGGTTTGGCATGATACAACTAATGGAGAAGATGTTGCACATGCATTAGACTCTTGCTGCCACTGCAGCATATCATCCAGACTGGGTCTCCAAATTAATCACCCTAAGAAAAAATTGTGGCTTGTGGTGGGTTCAGTTTCTTGCTTACCCAATCCTATTCTCCAGCTGCTATTATCACACAGACCTGTGGTTTCTTTTTGCGGAATGCAATATGTTAACCCTATACAATATGATAAGCCTATTGCAGCAAAAAACAACCAAGAGTCTTGTAGTGTCTTTTGGTAACCGATGAAGTGGAATATAATTTACAAAAGCTTGTTCCAAAATATGTTAGTTGTTAAGGTACTATAAGACAATTGTCTTCCAATTTCTTTATTGCTTTGTGCTACCCCTTTAAAATGCTATTCCAGCAATGTGTGCCGTCCCTTGGCTATAGGAAGTTTTCTTTGTTGTACTCTGCTCAGTTTTTATTCCTTCTAGAGCTGCCATTTAATTCTCTTGAAGTGCTCTGATTTGCTTATTATTTACTGTTTCTCCTGCAATACTAGCCATTGATCTGAGGCTTAACAAACATCTTGTTGCTCATACTGCCAAAATTCTCTTTTTAGGATTCTAGTACGTGTCTCGTATATGATGAGTGAACAAAATCTTCCCCACCAGAGCCAATTCCAGCATTCACAATCATTGTCATTATTGAATACGTTAATTAATGTCTATTATTTGCACTGCAGGTTTTTTGACCAAGTGGTGTTCTTTGAAAATTTCAGATGCTGCCCAGTTAATGTGGTTTGAAAGGCTCTATGTGTGGCTTCAGTGTTTTGAAAAGTACATCTTGTATCCTGCAATAATATTGAATGCCCTTACCAATGATGCTTTTTCAATCAGCAAAGATAAGCGATTAACTCCACAGTAAGTGGTTTATAAGTCATGATGCATAATTTGTTGAATGAAGAACTGGAGAATGTTAGGTCTGTACCAAGTCTGCAACTCAAACCTGCACAATGTGTGACTATCAGGGATGGGTCATGAGTAGTAGACTAAGGTTAGCCAGGAGCTTGGAAATGGGAACCATGGGGCAGGAATTAATCAGGACATACCAGAAGGCAAGGTGAAAGAACAAGACAGAAGTTCAAAGAATACCCAAGCCAGTCAAGTGTTACTTGAGCAAGTCTCAGCTGGAAGAGGAAGCCTGTATAGTCCTCCCTGCCTAAAATGATCTGATGGAACCCTTCAGGAGGTAGAGTCAGTCTACAAAGTTCTTTAAGGCACTGCTTCCTACAATTCACTACAGAGGTCCATCAGCTCCTGACACTCATCAAGCTGATGCCACTGAACAGGTACATATTGTGGACAGTTAAAATAATCTCTGTAAAAGTATAGTGCTGTGATTTCTTCAAGGAAATAAGTCTAATTCTTGGATATGTCTTTGTTTTATTAGTTTATTATTATCTATTTCAGAAAAAAATAGTGCTTTTAATTTGTTAAACACCCAAAGTAGTTAGCAAGTAAAATAATAATAAAATACAACAGAACCAATCAATCAAAACATGAAATGGTAAGAATAGCTGGCAATGACCAGGCAAACAAGTACGTCTTTAATTGTCAGTGAAAACATTCCACAGTAAAAACCCTCCTGACCTCAGTGAGGAGACATTCCGCATGGTGAATGTAACAGTGGAGAAGTCCTTCAGTAGCAAGTCCTTCCACTCAGAACATAAGGACTAGGGCAGCCCTATATTGACAATAGCACCTAAAATGTGGCTCAGTATCAGTTTGGCAACACAGAGCTTTTCTGCACAGGAATCAGATATGTATGGTAAGAAATTCCACCAAGCAGTCTTCCACATTCTGTACTAGTTACAGCTTCCAGACAGCTGTATATACAGCACCTTACAATACTACGGCCTTCAAGTTACCATTGCAGGCATCACGATGGCCAGCGTCCTTTGACAATCAAGACCCTATATAAGGCTAAGTTAAAGAAACATACCAAGCTTCCCAGGCAACTCACTGGAACAAACATACATGCCTTGTAATTATCGTTTGTTTTGCTTCTGTTCCCAAAGATACTCTTATTCATAAGGTCTTTGTGTGTTTGGGATGAAAAACTTGCTGAAGGCCATCTGCTGAGTTTATTGGAAGAGCAGAGCTTTGAATATGGGTTTCCTACATAACATTGTCATTCTATCTATAATATAAATTGGATCACATAATAGTTGTGCAAGAATTTTGAAACAGCAACATTGGAAAGCCACATTAATATAAAAAAGGGTGGTAATGGCAGAAATAAATGGTTAACATTTTATGGTGATCAATTAAATTAGCAGAAATAGGCCTGCTGTATTTATTGATATATGATATAGCATGAATTTTCTTTTTCCTCTTTCAGCTGTGATATCTTTCTGATTACAATTGCGGGAATGAAGCTACTGAGGTCTTCATTTTGTAATTCCATTCACCAGTTTGTTACACTAAGCTTTACTGTAATCTTCTTCAAATTCGACTATAAGGATTTCTCTGAGAACTTGTTGTTGAATTTCTTCATGATGTCAATTGTATTTAATAAGGTACGTGCAATCTTTAAAAACCATTGTCATTTCAATTAGAGGCATTTTCTTGCCTTGGATTGTCCTTTTCTTTAAAAAATAAAACATCATGGTACTGGCGTGATTGTTTCTGGGTGCAATCCAATGTCCTCTTTATGCATGACAGAGATGAGGCACGGTGGTGACAGTCTCTGTAGCCCTGTGCCTGGTGACCTGCATGTCATTCAGATAGCCATTTTTGACCATACAGATGAAGTGCTGTGGAGAAGAGACAGAGGCTGGGATCTTGTTTGGATACGGTATTAGCCATCAGCTCCAGTCTCCTCCCCTCCCACCCACCCCAGCACTTCCCTTTACCCCTCGCCAAGGATGATTTCTTACCTTGGGGGGAACAGTAAGGGTGGTTCTTTCTGGGCTGGCTACAAGGCGAGCAGGCAGTGGCTCCATCCTCAGAGATGCAGCTCCCTGCTTGGAGGAACTTGTAGCAGAGATTTGGAATAATCCTACAGAAAATGTCAGCAGGCCATGGGATTGTGCTTTTTACATTTTTTCCCTATTTTTAAAAGGAAATGAGGGATCCCATGCCTAACAATAAGCATATGTATAGTTATAGCCTACCATAAGTTCAGAAAGGAAGCGTCGTAAAGTAAAATGTCTTTGAAATGACATGTCGACTTCTGTGTTGACATGATGCTGTAGAAATTCACAACTGTGGAGCAGTTTTTAAAAATAGAATAATTAATGAGTTGGAATGTGCTTTTCTAGGTCACTTGTAAAGGTCTGCTCACCAAGGCTGATTATTTGAATTTGTTTTTAATTTTTTGGGGGGAAGGGGGGTTTCTTTCTTTTTTTTTTTAACCCAAGAGCCTTCTCTAGGAAATCGTTACATTTATCTAATCAGCTATAAGATATGAAATAAAAATTTCACTCCTAATGGCTGGCTTGACATTGCTGTCTCACTTTCCAGGGTAGTATCCCTTGCTATACCTTCCTCAAGCCTATCCTTAAAATTCCTAGCCCAACTTTTCTTGATTGGTGTAAGCCGTGGCAGGGTGCCATCCTCCAGCATTAAACACAGACGTAGGGATCACTGCTGTTTTATCATCATCTGCAGAATAGACCCAGTGTTTTCCCACTTCGCTTTGTCTCTAAAGCCAAAATGAGACCGTTCTTCCGGATTTATGTTTAAATGTGGTCACTGATGGGTGAGCTTGTCACTGAGGAGTGCTGGAGGAGTCTTGTGGGCTCCTCTCTCACAGCCTTCCACCCTCGCCTTAGCAGCAAGCCCCTCTCCCCAGCATGAGAAAGGACCAAGAGGCTATTTTCAAACTGTGACTAGAGCAATAACAGGAATAATGAGGAACAATAACAGCAGCAGTCTACCTTACAGGATCAGTGTAAATGCTACTGAGATAATATGGATGAAGTGCTCACTTAGCACAGCCTAATGCTCATTGTTATAGAATCACAATGAAACTAAATTCCCTTCTTCCTCTGCTTCAGGAATGGCTATGTTATTCAATTGATTTATTTTTCAAAGCACAATAAGAAATTTCTAGGATCAAAAAACCTTCAGTTTAAGACATTTACAATTTGAAGTTGTAAATGTAAAGAAATTTGAAGGTTTGCATAACGCTTCAACAGGAACAAAATTTAATCCCACCCACCCAGGATGACGTACTCAGCAGCACCTGAGACAAGCTATATTTGATGTTAGTAATTTGCATTTTTACAAATATCAGGCTTAAACTAAACACGATTTTTTTTGAAGAAAAGTAAGGTGTAGGACCCTGTTCGGGAGCATGTTCCCAACTTAGACTGGGGGCCATCAGCAGCTGCTGAAGATAGCCTTATCCCTGGCCACCATTTGCTGTTGGAGTGTTTTTGTTTGTTTGCTTGCTTGCTTGCTTTTTGTTTTCTCCCCTTTGGCTTTTTTTGCAGACAAGGACAAAAAGGCAAGGATGGATGACTTTCAGCAGGAAAGTGCTGGAGGCCACATTCCAGATTGGGAGCACATTCTGGACTATGCTCATCAAAATAGAAGTGGCCAGTGCAAAGCATGCCATTGTAGAATTGCAAATAATCTCAGTTTGAGAATACAAATTAGTTTGTTATTTGTAGTTTGTACAAATTGATTGTACAAATTATTATGTCACTTGATCCTGAGAATACAAATATTGTTGGTGCTTGATACGGCAACAAAGGGGAAAACCTCCTTTCTTGTAATGCCCTAACTGAGGAACCACATGTCCTTGGAGGTGTGGCTGGGAAGCTGAATTGTATTAGTTTTGCCCAAGCATGTAAACCAGTTTAAGTTGGTTGATGAGCGCTGTCTCTGAAGGTGCAAAATACGTTTTATTGTGGCACAAAAATTGGATAAACAAAAAGAAACTAGCATTTATTGAATACTGAATATGGAGGAAATGCTATACTTTTCAGGCAAAAATCAGCATAGTTTTAAGACTATGTTGGTTAGTTCAAAGGGTTAGAAAGTTCCTAATAGCCGATGCACATTTGTTCTGTTTCTTCAGGGCAAAAATATGAATTTTGATTGTTTTAGAAAATTCAACAACCCATTTTTAGGTAAGGTATTAGAATGTGTCATGGCCTCCCAATTCCAAGGATTCTTGGGTGATCTGGGGTACCTAGATCCATTCCAAAAATCTGCCAAAATTTCATGGGCTATCATTTAGAAAGAGTAATTACATATCACATTGATACGATTCTTGCTCAGACAGCATAGAGAGTGTTTCTATCTTGGTTTCCAAACTCTGTGTGGCCGGCTTGCTCTGCCTCAATCAGTGTACTTGTTCAGTCATTACTGTGTTCACAACTATTCTAAAAGATGGAAAGCACATTTTTATTGTCACCACCTTTGGCTATGCAGAAATAACCCTGAAAGTGACAGCCAAGATCATATTATTTGCTGAAGGTGTGAGCTTTTCCACGTCTCTGACAAAACTTGTTCCTAAGTGTTATAAGACTGTATAATCATCTCAATGGAAAAATAAGCCATGGGTACCACATTGAAGCAGTGGATGAGAGAACAGATTCATTTTCTTTTCTGCTAGTCATCAAAAGCTATGAAACAAAAATACAGCCCCAAACATCTCTAGTTTTAGGATATTTGCAGGGGAGGCTGGCGATGCTAATGTCAGTGGGGTTTTCTCATTCAGTACAGCTTTTCTGGGGAGCTTTATAAAAGCTGTCTGTGGTCTATCCCCTAAATACATTTACCACCATGGTTCATGATAGAGTGTTCCTATAAAGCTCAGAATAAAGCTGCAGTGGATAAGGAGCCCCACTGATATGGGAGTCACCAGCCTCCCCTGGCTAGCTCAGCTGAGAGTTTCTCTTCTCCCATTTGTAAGTCTGCCACACTGCTGACCTGGGTGCACTGATCCTGCGTGCAAATTATAACTTGCTCTAACAAAGTTATTAAAATAAAATTAGCATTTGAGAAGAAGGCAAACATCTGTGCTTTCTGTAACCCCTCTAGGAAAGTTTCCATGAACTGTGGAGCTGAAAAGATGGCAAAGTTCGGGAACTAAGGGGTAGGAAGTATCAGCAATGAGGCCTTAAATGCAGCAAAAGGATGGTGGTAGTCAGGACCTAGTGGCCAAGATTCCAAACAGTGAAGGACATAGAAGCTGGCTGGCTGCTGTCAAACCTTTGGAAATGCAAATCAACAGTCTGCCCCCCAAAACTGTAAAAAAATTGCAGCTATGGACTTCACTCCAGCACAGGAAAAGAATTGCAGAGGTATTACGATCTAATACAGGAAAGGCACTTGCAACCACAGCAGACCCAGACTGAGTATACAAGTTCAGTATGAAAATGAGCAAGTCTAAGTAATTCAAGACCTGAGTCTTTATCCTTTTCGAAGTTTTAAATGCTCTATTGCAAACTTCACATGGTGGGGGTGGGGGGCATAAACGACAGATGGGAACACTCAGTTAAAATGATTAGTTAAAATGGATGACATTGCTATGATTATTTTATCACAGCCAGAGGCCAGATAGTTCCTTATGTACATGACTCTGAGCCCAGGAGAGGAAGGGGGAGGAAATTCCCATGCAGGGTGAGAGGAGCAGCAGCAGCAGTTCAATGGAGAAGACTCTGACAAAGGCTCTCATTGGCAACAAAAGATGAGAACTCAGTGAAAATGCAGATTCAAAGACAAGGAGGAAATCTGTAATACTCATAAATTGTTTATATTTGAACAATAGTGCAGTAAAAAAGAATTCAATGGGTTTCTATTATATATTTTTTATAAATGTAAAATACATTTTTTAAGAAAGCTCAGATAACACATTCTTACAGGACACACAAAAAGCTAAGAATAAGGCTAACTTAACTTTCTTGATTTGGGGGAATTTCAAGATAACAAGATAAGGGCTCCTTGCAATCATGGTGAATAACAATACTGGGGGGCAGGCAGGGGGGAATTCCAACTTCCTAGTTGGATCCACAGTAATAGCAGACCCCCTGCAGCAGATTTATATTAGTTAAAGGATCACTAGAAGTGAGGAAACTAACAATAGACAATATACTGTGTTTAAGGACCAAGTAAGAATCAGCTTAATTCTTTTCAAGAAGCATTTTAGAAATGGGATGGCTTGAAGGAAGGAAAAATAATTGTAGGGAGTGACTGAGACCTGAGTATTGCTAATGGGGTGGGATAAAAGTCTAATAATAAATATTGACAGGATTCCAGTCTTTCAAAACTTCTTTTAGAATATGATTTAGTTGACACATGATGATTAATGCACTCCCTCAAACAAAGACTTACATTTCTTTGAGCCAGGCATAATATGTACACCAAGAATGAGTGTTATTTCCTCTGAGGGGGCAATAACACTGAAAACAGCTAACATGAAAATGTCCTTGTGCCATTATATTGCATGCCACTAGCACTAGAACCTTATGGTGCGAAATAGGAAATGTGGCAGAATTTCTGTATTAATGGATATGTGAGCTCGCTGATGTTTAATTTTTCTCACAAATGCTTAGTGGATTCAGAAAACCATTTTTGCTCAGTGTGTGTTGACTTGCCAAAATAAAAAACTGACACCAAGTGGTCAGAAAGGATCAAAACACAACAGACCCTACAACCTGCAGTTTGTGAAAAGATATACCTTGCCTAATAAGCAGTGGCTATCAATGGCTATCAAAGGATTTTCTGCCATTGCCAGGCTTTCGAGTTATGGTTCTTTCTGAACATTTATTTCTCAAATCATGGTATATTCCTCTTTCATATGGTTTGTTATTTTGATCTATACAGTTATGACAAGAAAATATCAGAGAAGATAGATTGCTTTGCTTTTAATGAAGAGCCCAGTAGTTCAGCTCTTAAAGAACTAGGATGTTTTTTTCATACAATAATTCTATGCTTTAAATATGCAAGGCTTTGTTTGTTTGTTTTTGGTAATTAAACAGAATATTCTTCCATAGTTCAAACTATTTGTTGAAGTCTTTGCTACCTGATTCTTTATATGTTTAGTTTAACCCTTATACTTTGGGAAGTGTATGCACTCTTTTAGTTATCAGTTAAGGTCATAACATGTCAGACTTTCATATGAAAAAATATTACAAAATGGATATGTCAGCTTAATCTGCTCAGCGCAAAGCCAACTCACATCCTTGAGTCAGGTCAATAGGTTATCATGAAATATTTTTAGCTGCAAAAGAAAGAGAAGTATCCAGTGACTGCATTCCATTCGTAGAAGGCACTTTGATCCAGTGAGGTCTTCTTTGAATGGATGGAGGTAGAAGGTGACTTTGTAACTTCTCCTTTGCCCTTAGAGCGCCCATCCCACTTTTTTTGTTATTCTGGGAAAAGTTCATCCCTCTGGAACAGATCTGCTGGTTTACAGTTCTTTCACCCTTCAAAGAAAGGAGAAAATAAATTAAAATTTATTTTCTAATCTTTTCTGTTCATAAATGTTTCAGCTGGGTTAATGAGCCTTCTGCAAACAGAAGGATAAAACCTTATGACCTACTTTGCATGAACAAATCTCTGATAGAAAGCAAACCATAGGTAACAGCTTGGGAGTGAGTGAGCATGTAGCTCCCAAACACTCTGATTTGCTAAGCAAACTGGGGATATTCCTAGATTGTTCTCTGTGACTTCCAAACATGGAACTCTTGGTTGTTGATAGAGGAACAACCCAGTGTTTGTTGTTTTGATACTTTTGATACTTATGAGGTGTAGTTATAGAAAAGATATTGCATTGCAATGAGGAAATTTGTGCCATCAGCAACATTCCAGTCTCCCCAACTCTGTCAATTTCCTTCAGAGATTAAGAAAGATGGTTTAAAACACTGATTAGCAAACCATATTAAGGAAATTAACACTAAATTGGGCTGTCAATGTGCAGATATTCTCCCTAATTGAATATATATCAAAGGAAAGCATTCTGTAATGGAAATGTCAAGATTTTTCAAAGAAAATGCCTGACAGTAATATTGTTATAAGTGGGCTATGAGTCTTGAGAACCTGAACCCTGCATTAAAGCACCGCAGTTCTGCAATTACAAAAAAAAAACCTGTTTTCTCAGATATGGGTTCTGCAAATTGGACTAATTCACATAATGTTTCTTGATTTTCATAATTCATGCAATTTATGTAGTTGCACAGTTTGCTTAAAGAGCCTGGTAAATTTGTAATTTTGCATCTTTTGTTTTGTGAAGAGTTCTGGAGTTATGGAAAAGGGATATAGCATCCCCTTTGTAGAATTACGTTGAGCATATGGTAGCTTTATACTTTGTTAGCCTGAATAGATAGACATAATGAAGCAGTCAGTAGCATGTTCCGTCATGCATCCAGAATTTCAGGCTATTGAAGGAACTTCTAAAAGTTCATTTGAGGTCAAGACATATGGTGGAACCACATTCCCATTGAACCTGGACTGGCAAAACAGGTACCGTCATGATGGAAAGTATATTTTAAATGTGATGGCATGGATAGGTCTAAAGGAGAAATAGGGCTGCCATTAAAAGGGTTTATTCCCCCTTCTTTAACATTTAGTTAAGCCATTTAGTTAGGACTTACGCCAAGTCCTCCCATCATAATTTACAGCATTGCTATGTCAAGTCATAGCATATATTACAGAGGGGAAGGGGAAAGGTGTGGAGCTACACTTTTAAGATGTAGCCTCTTATCTCTTATACCATCTAGTTCTGCTTTAAGGTCAGGGTGACATGCAGTGTACTAAATAAAGAAGTTTAATTCACATTTAGCACAATGCTTTTTCTTCTATTCAAGGTTTGTGCAAATATATAGGTTACAAAGATTCGTTTTTTTATAGGAAAGGAGGTTTTGTAGGATTCAGGTTGCTTTTTTCTTAGATGTCATATTTTGGATTCTATGGAACTATTCAGACTATGCCACTAAGCCTGTACAAATTAACTCCACTTCATTTTTTATATTAATTAAATTGCAGTGAAACCTAAGAGGTAGTACAACCCTTCTATAGATACCTTGGAGCAGTGCCTTTGTGTAAGATACAAAAGGGAAAATGTTCCTTTAAAAGTGGAGCTCACATAGACAGTCATAACTTTTTTTTCCTTTTGCTTTCAGCTGTGGGACCTACTGCAAAAATTACAGTTCGTAATGACATACATTGCTCCTTGGCAAATTGCTTGGGGCTCTTCATTCCATGTGTTTGCTCAGCTCTTTGCCATACCTCATATCCTTTAAGAAACTATGCATGCTATTTTGTTCTATATTCAGAAGCTGAAAGAAAAACATACCACTATTGGATATTTTATATTAACAGTAGTATTAAAAAAAAACTTTAAAAGTTGTTGCTTTTTCCGGAGGTGGATGGTGAATGGGAAGACAGAGTACAAGAAAAGCCACTTTGAGCAGTATTTTGAAAAGTGGAATATGATATTAAACATGTGTAAATGAGAAAACTAATGATCTGAGAAATGTAGTTCATTTTTAGTTGTGGCATTATTACTTGTGCAGTAAGGTGTGTAACTGATATCTGCTTTATTTCTGCAGTTGCCTCCTGTCCAAAAACACTGTATAAAGTTGGGTAATATAAACCATTGCTCTCAGGTTCTCAAATATCACACAGTTGTCTCTAGGCTGGTTTTCTATGTTTTTCATTTTCATTTTCTCATGACATTTTCAGATATGGAAGCTGCTAATGGGACTGTCCCGATGACATTAGGTGGTAATACAGAAAGTTACTTTGAACTATAGTATTGTGCAGTGCTGCATATAATTGGCAAATTAGCACCTGTGCTTAAGTGTATTGCATAGAAAATGAATAAGACTTTGGGACCAGTTGAAGTGTGATGCACAGAAAAGCCTTTCCTGCCCTCGCGGGGAATATCTATGAGACCCCTTTGTTTGAAGGGCAATGCTTGTTAAAGGGAACTGGTGGGGACCTGCTTTTCAATCTGCTCTTAATAGTACATGGCTACCCTCAAGCTTGCACAGATTCAGGGCATTATGAAGACCTCTCCGGTGGGAAAAGTCTGCCCAGGGAGGTTTCCCAGATACTGGAACCCTTGTTCATGCAGAGTTTCAGAATCAAAGCTCAGAGTTACAGAATGCCTCCCCATTCCCAGACAGCTCTGCTAACGTGTGGGTATCAAGGGGGCACTCTGAGCAGCCATGCAATATCAGTGTCAGCCTCTTTTAATGTGCGTTGACCCTTCATGTGAGTAATATATGAAGGGAAATATACTTGGCATCTTGTTAAAAAGGTTGGGACAACGTGAGATAGACATAGCTCAACTATGTCTGAGCATGGCTGTTGCTTTTCCCATTCAGCACTGGTATGCAGACTCTGTGTATGTTGAGCAACCACATGAAGAGCCACAGAGATAAGGACGTATTGGCAGTACTGCACAGACCTAGTTATATGTAGGAATGCCAGTGTATCTCAGGTGAGCTATTGTATAATGCTATCTTCAGGTATTTATTTGTTTATTTAATTTGGAGAACTTATATGCCGCCCCATTCGCATAAGCCTCGGGGCGGCTTCCAAACATAAATATAATTGATATAATTACATAAAATATAGGAGACATTCTGGCAAAAAATTATTAAAATCAATAAATAAAGTTAACAATTAAAATAAGGTTTAAATAAAAAAGTCTTGGCCTGGTGCCGAAAAGCAAATAATGAGGCGCCAGGCGGACCTCTCTGGTATCGAGTTACATCTGCTTCTGTGATACTTCTTCCTATAGTCCTTTGATCTTAACTTCATGATTATCCTATCTTGTTGTCTAGATATTCTGCAGTTAAGAACATTGATTAGAAAGCATCTGGCTACCTTGCCTGTTAATGTGTCTCCAGCTGGCCTATGTCTACCAGCTATCACTTCTGTAAGGTTCCCCATATTTGATCCACTAAAATATAAAGAGTAGTTGCAACTGTAGTTGCACTTGAGCTCAGACAACGCTCTTATCCTTAGATCCTTATGAAAATACTATTTCTGTATCTTCTCCAGCTAATGTGAAACCCAGTTGAGCAAAAAGCTAGGTCTGATCCAAATGCTTGCAAGTCTCATTTTTGTGTGGACAGAGATTGTGTAAGTGATGTCCTTCTCTTTTTATGTTTCCTGTATAAAGATCAAAAAGCTCTCTGCAAATTCTTGAAGCAGGAACTTTTATATCTACTCTAAAGTGGAATGTGTAGGCTCCATATACCTGTGGAATGTAAAGCGTCTCATGGAAAAAGATGGACACTAATAATTATCACCAGATCAAGCAATCTCTTATATGTATAACCAGTGCTGTAAAACTGTTGGGCTTATACTGCTTTGCCACAAAGCCCAAAGGAAACTGCGCTTAGAGAGCAGTTTAGCATGTTGTTATATGTACTCAAGTCCTGCCAAAACCAACCTTTTTGTGTTTTAGTTTTAATGTTACATTTCTGTAATAAGATACTAAATGCCCATTTGTTAGATTGCTAAGATCCTGCTAATGTGCCAAAATGAAAAGGAGGACAGTGCCCTTGTCTCTTTAAATAATTGTGTAGGCAAAAGAATTTCAACAGAGATGAGAGAAACTGCCCTTGATGGAATTTCCTCTACTACATGACTGTTAAAATACAGGGAGCCTTTTTCTCTTGATATCTGCTCTGTCCTAGATCCCTCTTCCCAGTGGCATGAGAATTTTGATACTTCCTGCCTGTATCAGAACAGGGAAGCATTTGATGCTTCCATTGCATTTGAATGTGCATTTGAATGTGCATTGGTCTTTTGCCATTTGATATCAGTTTTGCAATGTCAAGTATCTGGCATAGTCACAGGAAGTTTCCCCTATCACCCTCCTTTGTTTCTCTTTCTCTTTCTCTTCATCTTCTGCTCTTTGCCTTTGTAGAGACTTTCTGTCCTTCCAAGCCAGTACAAATCATGAGTCCGCCTTGTTACGGCAACTGAACTCTGTTGACACTTCCCTCCCACCTTTTATATCCTCTCCATTGGCTTTGGAACTTGGAGGCTCTGAGGGCAGCTCATGTGCTAGATCTACTAATATGCACAGACAGCACTCTAGAGCATTCTCTATAAAGAGTTACAGATATACACTTGGTAATGATTTATTAAAAGTGCAGGTAGCATCCAAATTTTGTCTTACTAGCCCTTAGTGGGAGAAATATGATGTGCTTTCTCAGTTACTGAAATCAAAGAGAAAAAGCATTTCTCAACTATCTGCACATGATTTATTCATTATGAGATAAGAAGTTGCTCATATATGATAGTTAAAAACCAATTTTATACACATCTCTGATTGATTCAAGCAGCAAGAAACCTGTTTCAGCTAACATCGGCACTGTTAAGTATCATTGATTTCAGCAAGGGGGTTAATTAAACATTAAATCTCTAAACCTCTACTCAGTGAGACATAAGTGCTTGATTTTGGCTAGCCTGTGTTTGTATGTTGCATCTAAATAGCTAAGGTGTTAAAAGTTTGGATAAAGTTTAAATACCGTGTACCTACTATTACATTGGCCTGGGTTAATGAAAGACATTCAGCAAATAACTGATAGTCAAGGAAGACTTGCTCCAATGTCTTTCAGTGTTCATCCTATGTTCATTCCATTACAAGTCCATTGTGAGTTTTACTTTGTGGTTTTACTATAAATGAAAAGCAGGGAAATAATGTGGAACATCTTCCAGTCTTGATACTTGAGAATTTGAGAGTCTAGCACAAAAATGCCTTTAATTTTACCACAAATAATAAATGGATGAAAATGCACTTCCAAGTGGTTCTTTCAAAGTTCTGTAGTGTTACATACATAGTTGGTGACTTTCCTACGTGTTATTGACAACCTTTGAAATCTGTTCCATCCTTTACCACCCCTCCTGTATCCTCTGCCTTCCCTCCTGACACTTAAGGTCTGGTCCTCACTAAGGTGGGAAACAGGCTGCAGGTGGTGAATTACATGCTGAATGCCACTTCCTATGCAAATATTTTCTTCATGTAGAGAATGAGCACACCAAGGGAAAGTCTAGGTGAGAGAAGAACCTTCTCCCTGATATCTTGTTCTGTATGTAGAGAAATGTATTGGCTATTATATCACAGATGGGAGCTTCCATCTAATCCGACCTGGTAAAACCCAGATTTAGTATTTCAGAGACTATTAGGCCTCTGCTGTATGCATTGTTCACAGGTTTGAATAGCTGTATTTCTTTTCTTGATCTTTAGCTGTAACTTGTTACTTTGTGCTATGTCCCTGGATTTTTTTTGGTGGTGGTGGTGGGGAGTCAGTTAAATAAATAGGTCAGGAGGTGCCTGAAGGACAGAAGGAAATGCAGTGAACTTCATTTGTGTTACCTTAACTTGAAATTTTCAGACTCTGCGATACTCTTCTTCCAAACCCTGGCCACTGCAATCTTTTCTACTCCATTGAGTCCATTTCTAGGAAGTGTCATTTTTCTCACATCATACGCCAGACCAGTCAAGTTCTGGGAAAGGAATTACAAGTAAGGCAAAGTGTTATACCTTGATCTCTTTGTTATTAAATATGGGGGCTCTTAATAGGTCTACACTGATATTTTGTACACTTTCTCTGATTCTTGAGGATTATTCTGCTGGTTTTGCTACTGTTCATCCTGGTTCTATTGCAGTAGCGCTTGTTAGAGGATAGCTGGCCAGTTTTGAAAAGCTATGTATTTAAACAATAATCAGAATGGAGTTGTCACATCACATTTACTTGTCAAACAGAGCAACAGAATTGTGCGGAGGGGCAGAGGGAATCACAACTGTCCGGAATGTCAGCAGCTATTGATTCAGCAGCTATAGTTAGAAACTAAATAGTTTTGGCCTTTAGGTAATAGAAGTCAACATGGATTAATACAGTTTATGTTAGCCAGTTAATGTTCTGCCAGATAAGTGGTACCAGGTGGTGAAGGGAGCTTTCATCTTTAAGACTGAGTCTGTAAGATCCAGACTACATTACCGTTGTAGAAAAGCAGTTTACTTCTTTGCTGAAAAAGAGTGTCAGAAGGACATTCAGTGGAGATATGGGGAAGTGGAGTGGGGGGGATTTCCATCTCCCCATCTCTTTTTGGCCACTGGTTTTTCTGTTACAAGAACCCTTCCCCCTCCCCAAAGCTGTCTTCTGATCCATGCAATTCTAAATATGTATTTGAAACATTGTGGAGACGTTGAGTGGAGAAGAGTAACGGCGTGTCAGGATGACACAGTTCAGCCCTCCCACCACTTTTCACTCCCAGATCACCCGCTCTCAGATTAACTTTTCTGGAACAAAAGCAGATACAGTATTTTGCTATGTACAATTGTGTGCAATGGATAGCTTGGAAATAAGTAAGTTTTAAAATTGTTTTGAAAACCCTATTTTCTGTTCCTCAAAGCATTCTGCTATAGCAAAACTCTACTTCAGTCTGGGAAAGTAGCACTGCGATGGTCTAATAGATAAACCAAAGGAACCTCAAGAGGGGAAAGAACTTGTACGTCATGAAAGGAAACAGGGAAAGTTATCAAGTGCACGAACACAATGTCTATTGTGCCCAATGCATTTTGGGAGGAAAAGCCATCCTTGGGCGCCAGTATTATTTCTTTAGATGTATTGACAAAGAATACTTCTAATGTCTCTGCTGTATTGGAGGGTCTGCTAATGATATGTGAAATGGTATATTTTATTATTTTTTTCCACACTGTCTGCACTACACTAGCTGTCTGGTAGATTCCCAGAAATACACACCTTAACACAAGCTAAGAAAAACATAATATCTTTTGTATTACATTTAAAACAATCATGTGGGCTACACAAGCAGCCAGTCACAGTGGCAGATGTAGCAAAGTGGAACTGAATGAATGAAAATTCAGTGTGGTTAAAAAACTGAACTGGATTGCTGGCTGAAGACTATGCAGAACTGTGAGACTTTTGTGTCTGAACATACATACATGGGATTACACCCTAAATCCTTTTTATCAATTTTAAAGGTGCCCTTTAAAGAACTGGGCATGAAATTAAAAAAGAGGACTGTTTTTAATAAGATTTCTTACAAAAATCACACTGGCAGAGGTCATCTGAGAAGATGCAGTCCTCCTTCCTCTCACATTGTGACATATTCATACATTACCTAAAGCCAGAGAGAATGCTTTCATCTTCAGAATCCATGTACAAATTTAGGCAGATGTAATCAATTAATTAATCATCAAAAACTGATGCAATTAATTAAGATTTCTTTAATTGGATGACGGCCCTAATTTCAATGCATTTGTTCAAGCGATGTTCCTAATGGACTGCATTCTGTGCTGCGATGACTCCTGTTGAACATATGAAAACACACACAGAGACATAATGTCAATCACAGCCTATGAGAACAACTTGTTCCTTTTGAATTGCTGCCAGCTCCATTATGATACATTATGATTCTGCGCATCCATTTTCATAGCTTGAAAAGTGAAAGAGGCACAAACATCTAGTTACGCAACTAGGATATAGTGTATCTCCAGGGCCTCCATCTCCCTCTCTCTCTTTTTGTCCTAATATTTCAGCACCACCATATCCCCAAATAGCGAATAAATACCAGCAGGTCCTGTTTTCCTTCCTATTTTTATCCCTGAATATTTTTATCCACTTAATATGAACAATAACAGTAACTTTCTGTGGTTTTAGGGAATAGAAGCAATTTTACATGTGTGAATATTACATAGAAAAGGTTAAAGGGAAAGAATAGTGTGTGTGTATACATTTAGGACCGTTCTTTTTGCACAAAACAGTTTTAAAATCCAGGTTTGTGATTTATTTTATAGGTACAAGTATAAATCCGAATTTTATATAGCAGTTTTCTCCATGGTGGTACCCTCAAGATGAGTTAGGTGCAATTCCCATAAGGCTACGTTGGCTAAGGATGATGGAAGCTTCAATCCGACACATTCAGAGGTCATCAATTACAAGGCTGTTTTGCACTAATAGCAAACTCATTCTCTAGGTGTCAGTGCAGTTTTGCACCCCTTTCGTGAAAACTTTAGATGCCTGACATGGCACTGAAAAGAAATGTTGTGTCTGCAACAAGAAGTACTTTATATTAAGCTGTAGACTCTCAGGACAAGAATGATAGGCTCCTGGTACAAAGACCAACATAGTTCTTAGCTTCACACTAGCAGTGGATTTGATTCTGACCTTGTCAACTGTTTACTGTTGAATTACTAACAGGGCTGAAAGCATCCCCATGGGGAGTTTTCCATCTTCAGGTGTTGCTCTTTATTTGTTTCACACAATCAAAACAAATAAGCCATTTGGCATGTAAAAGACTAACTGATTTTTTGCAGCATATGATTTCACTGGATTCATCATGTTATCCTTATTTGATAGGTAGATACATGGATATATACAGAGGGGAAAATGAAGCCAAATGACAATGAAATGTAAAATATATAGCTTAAGATGAGCTCAGTGACTATTCAAAACCGCATTAACTGGTGACAGCACAGCCATCCTAGTTGAGTTACACCTGTAATAAGATAGGAAACCAGTGGTTGCGTTCAAACATAATGGTGGCCAACAGTAAGTTGTGGGTTATTTAACCCATGCATTGCAGAGATGTGGGCTGTTTGCATTAACAACCCCTGAATGCCTCATTCAAAGTTTGCCCGTTTGATGGCTGAGAAGGACCTCTTGAAATTGTGAATTGATTAAACAGCCTCAAGTTAACCCAGGAACAAACTATTTGAATATTATTAATGGAAACAGAATGCAGCTCATATGTGATTTGCAAATAGCCCAGGGCCTGCAGTTTGTGGGTTAATTAGCCCATGATTTGCTGTTGGATGCTATCATGTCATTAATTCAACTCAAATTTAAACTGATAGATCAAAATTTTAGACAGGTAGTTTCCCAAAAGAAATTATTGTTTAACAAAAGAAAGGTGTCTGAAGTTCTTAGTACTTCTTGAACAAGCCACTTGTTCTGTCATGAATTTCTACAGACAGTTGATGGTACTTTGAGGCTTGGGCATGGAGAAAAGTTGGGGAAGGGCCATAGGTCAGTGGTATTATTTATTATTTCAATTTTGTATGCCAAAATATCCCATATCTCAGCTCTCTGAACAGCTCACAATATATAAAGCAACACAACATTCTAAAATCAGTAACATTACATCAACTTATGCAAAACATAACAACATCATCAAAATATAAAACACTGTATATCAAAATTAAAATATTATATAAAAGATTAAAGTAAGACAATTTAAACTGAAATCCACTAAAAACCAAGAATGGGGTCAAATTAAAACCAAATAATCATTCTTTGTTTAAAATAGCCAGAGAAAGGGTAAGTCTTTATTTAGTGCCAAAATGCTAGCAGTGTTGGCGCCAAGTGCACCTTTCTGAAGATCCTATTCCAGGGGTGCGGTGCAGCCACTGAGAAGGGCCTTCTTTGCATGTGAAGGGCTCCAGGTTCAATCTCTGACATCCTGAAGTAGAACTAGGAGATAATTTGGTCCCCAGTCCTGGAGAGCTGCTGCCAGTCACTGTCAACACCCCTGGGCTGGATGGACCAGTGGTCTCATTCAGTATGAGAGCCTCCCGTATTCCTGTCCCCTCAGGAGGTCCCATGCTGGCTGAATAGCAGAATGGGCCATTTCCATGGCCATGCCGATAGAGGTTTGTAACAGGGAACATTCCAGTCCCTTGTTAGCTGGGTTTCTACTAGCTTTATTTCCCAGGCAAAATGCAACATTTTGACTCAAGGTGTTGGGGTTAGGTGGGGAGATGGCACAAAATGGCAGCAAAACTTCACTTTCCGGCAACCTGCTGCTGTATCTCTTCATGCTGCTGCAGCCTAAGCAGAGCTAAGGAGGTTTGCGTTGCTGATCTCCATTCTGTTCTTTCGATATTATTACTTTTTCCTGCTATAAGCACCATCGTCATATTTTATTTATAAAGCACCTTGAAATGACTAAGCGCTGTGCAATAAATTTTTCAAAAGACAATTCCTTGCCCACAGGCTCACAGTCTAAAATCAATTGATAAACTAAGGAAGGTGGAACAGTGAATGTGAAAAATGGAGGAAGAAGCAAATGTCTGCTGGAAACTTGTGCAGTATAAATCCATACCATTATATGCTGATGGGGAAACTTAAGTCTAATTACGAACTACTGAGTTATTCCATCTGTCTGGCCTTTTAGTTAACTGCCTTGATATAAACCACAATCTTATGGGAATTTCTTTGTTTCCTTAAAAGCAGCGTCGGTCTTGAATCAAAGACTACCATGTTAGTATGTGTTCCCCTTGCAACATGGAGGGGGCTGCCTTTTCTCTTATTTTCACAGCTGTGTGGATCATTGCATCCTGGTGGTAGAAGGATGAAAAGGAAATGACAGTAAATCATGCAATGTATGGACACATGTTCAAACGGTGACCTTTTCCTATCTTTAAAAAAAAGTAATAGCATTGATCATGGAAATGCACGTTTTGTTCATCAGCCCTTCTCTATTTTATTGTTTCATGG